CCTCCCCCCACCCAACAGGCTGGATTTGGCTACGGTTTGCCGATTTCCAGGCTCTACGCCCGATACTTCCAGGGGGATCTGAAACTGTACTCCATGGATGGCGTTGGCACCGATGCCGTCATCTATCTGAAGGTAAGGAGAGCCAGGGTGATGTGGAGCATGACTCAGGAAGGTCAAAGATTGTGTGATATTTAAAGAAATATGCTAGTTTATCTTTTCGCTTTAATAGTGTAAGATGATTTTACTCTCATTTGTACAACAAGGATGGAGCAAGAGCCAGAATGAGCTTAGCTAGGCTTAGCATGAAGACGGCAAGCAAAGTCAAAATGTAATAAAAATCTATTTTCCTCCAACTCTAGGGATTACTTCTTAACCCTTAGATGCATGAGTGGGTCTTTTTTGACCCGGTGAGGTGGTTTTCCTAGAGTATCTTTGTAATAACATTTATTTATCATTTCATATTCCAGCTATTCATCAAAAAACACGTTTTGGATATCATGCCATTCAAATTTTTAATTTACATTTTAAGAAATTGTAGTTTTTGTATTAATACCCCAAGCTTCCATAAGTGGGTTAAAAATGACCCGCATGCATTTTCTATGGAATCCTATGGGAAAACGTTTTTTTTCAAAATGTAAATTTTTTTTCTAAAATTATAAATAGTGAAAAATTAAATATAAAATATTTCTAGTGTGAACCAAAATATAATACTCAATATTATACAAGTGATTTCTCTTAACCAAAATGACAAAAATGGCATAAAAACACATATTATTCTAATACGAGTCCTTTTTGACCCACTCTTATGGAAGAGTGTAGGGTCCAGTCACTCGGGCATCTAAGGGGTTAAGGGTCTACGACCTTTACTAGTTTCCATAGAATATGCAAATTAGCACTTGATCCTTACATTCCCCTTTATTAATGCTATTCACAATTGTCACTATGGATCTAAAACCTCTCACTATACCTCTCAGCCACCGCCATTCGTGCATCATGTTTTCATTTTGTGTTGGGAAGTTTGGAGTGGAGGTCAGGGTGGATGATCCCGCTTTGAATAAAAGATAATGGCTAGAATAATGGGGAAACATACCTGCTTGCTAAATGAGAGTGATAAGGCAGTGGGACGGTGGGTAGAGAGATAAAGTCACCTCCTTAATCAGATTCCTATTGTCTGGAAAGTGAAGGTGCGATTGGGGGAAAGGTGAGATAAGAGCCATGTAGGCTGATTAGCTGTACGCACGTTACAAAGGTCACAGCGTCCATCAGGTCTGTTCGTGTTACCTCTAACCGCAGACATTTGGAAAAAATGTTCCATCAAAAAGTAAAATATCTGCAATTACATTTTCATGGTCCAATAGTTTGGGGTATAAAACACATTGTGGATTACGGCCCCATTCCAAACCACTTATCTTTGTTCCCTCTACATAGATTTGTATCTTTATTTCATGCAAACACCGATGAACATTCCTTGTAAGTTTCAAACTACTTGGCAATAAACATCATTCTGATTTACATTCATACTGTGGTGAGAAATGATAACGTTTTACATTTTATACAGTACTATGGCTGGTTTTTAAACTATTATATATAATGCCTGATGATGAGTGTCTGATGGATATACATCAAATATATATATATAAAATAATTGCGTTCTGTTTGTATCACTTAAGTAAAAGATCATTAATAAGTAGATTGAAATAAAAATTGAATTACATTTACAAAAATGATGAGAGTTAGAGTTAATAAGAATTCAAAATGGCTGAACACGATGATTGGGATTTAATTCAAAGACACGTGGAGGCTGATATATTCTAATCATTCATTTTGACTCAAACATTATGCTGGGAGAATTAAGCGACGGACAAATATCAAGTAGAACAATATGCTCAAATTGACTTGAACAAATGATTCGAGCAACAAAGACCTTTCATAAAGCGCAGAGGCCTGTCATGCGGCACATTTATTTCATGGTGCGTTATAGTGCCAGTTACATGTAATCACACAGGGCTTTGTGTATGTGGCGCGATAAAATCTGAGAAGACTGAAAAGCAAACCCTTTGTTTACAACCCTGCAGCTTGCATCGAAAAAAACAAAACCAGACCTATCCACCCAGCAGTCATTAATACTGATCCTGGACGTAGAGAACAATTGGAAACAGTGACGCCCGCATGTCAAAATGTCACCTGTATGATCTTCAGTTGATATACAAATCACGGTACGTATTTATTAACAAGCAAAGAACGGACGTGATTTTTTTTCCACTAATGAGAAAGCAGGCAGCTCTTAATGAATGGGGTTTAATCGACACCCACACACTGCCACTTTGCTACACATGCATTAATTATCTTTACACACACGCGTGCACACACAAGAGGAGTCATAGCAGCTTCACTGGAGGAAAGAGGGAGAATCATCCACCTCAGTGTGCGCAGACTTAGATTAAAACATGACTGTAAACATCAAAGTGCACCAACAGAAGGAAGAAGCATTCAAGATTATCTCGGAGTGGTGAAGCAAACTAAGCCACCCACCATCCGTCGCTGCTCTCACAACTTCGCAGCACTAACTGAATCATTAAAAAACCCCGAGCTAGCACCAGGGTGAGGCGTGCTGACAGAATCGGCTAAATGGAGAGGCACCGTGGAGAAAGACAACATTGAAAGAGGATTATAAGAGAGATGCTTAACCGAGCTGGAGATACGGTACACGTCCCTGTTAATAAACAAACATTGTATATGGGAGTCACGCTTTGGAGCCTGCTGTGTGCTCAGGAGCTGTATTAGAAAGATAAGTCATTTCATAAATAATCTATAATTATCTTCTCAATGTTGTTGTGATTTAAATGATCCATTTGTAGACGAGCTTATATTTTATTTAAATAGAAATCAGGGTTAGAAATGATTTTTAGAGTTTCATTTTCTTTACCGTAATCAACTGTGTAACCTTTCAATAACTCTGAACGACACTCACATTACCTTACTGCATTTACATATAACAAACACTGTGGATTGCGTTGTGTTGAAATGTGCGTCATAAACTAGCCTAACCTTGATAAATATATTTTCTACTGTTGGTACGTTTACATTAACTCTTCATATTGACCTTCTTATTTGAATATATTACATTTTATCATATTTTAACTCATGTGTAATGGCTGTTAAAACGCTGTACATTTCCCAATATGGGACAACAAGTAGTAAATCTATTCTAATGTGGGAACCATGGTCTGGGAAAGTGAACAGTAGCCTGGCAGAGGCAGTGGCTAGTCAATTAGTCGATACAAGCTGCGTGATTGTTTCTGTGTGGAAGGTTTCTCAATTCTCTAATTCACCTCCTCGACTCCTATCCTCGTGTCTTAGTCCCGCCCACAGGAGATGCGAGCAGAGGAGTTGAGGAGGGGAACAAAGGAGAGAGGAGGTGAAGCAGCAGGCGGTTAGAGAAATGAGAACTCCTCTCCTTTGAGCGGTCATTTTAAAAAGACGTCCATTAATGATGACAGGAGGCACAGCAGCACTCTGTCTGATGCCAGTGCGGTATAATGAGACAATGACAGGCTACAGATGCGGACATATATATACACACACACACACACACGTATATATTTGCGCTGAAATCCATTTCCGGGTCACTACCGGAGGACCGAGGATTCGAGGAGTCGAGGAGGGGAAATTAGAGAATTGAGAAACCTTGTGTGTGTGTGTGTGTGTGTGTGTGTGTGTGTGTGTGTGTGTGTGTGTGTGTGTGTGTGTGTGTGTGTGTGTGTGTGTGTGTGAATGTGGCATTGAACTCTGTTCGACCCTTTACTGTAGGTGCAAACTGTGATTACAAATCAAACCCTCCTCCCCCGACCACCAAGTTCATCACAATCCCTGATTGCATCTTATTGTGTCTTCTCTTTGTATTTTAGCGAGTAAAGTGTGGTTTGTCTGGATGTCTTTGAGTGTAATGGGTGAGAAGGGGTTGCCAGGGACAACAGGCCAGTTGAGGAATGATCCGCCTCGACAAACACTGGTCGCGCCGGAGGGAGGTGGGCTCGGTCGGGATCTAATTACGGGTTCACACTCAGGGATGGGTGAAACATCACCTCCTCTTGTCCCTGTCTTAACCTGGACTTATCAGACACACTATCAGCTGGACCACACTTTCATTGTCCTTGAGTCCCGTCGTGTCCTCATGCTGCATTATGTGTCCCTGAAGTTATTATTCAAAAAGAATAATAATGATTTTTGGCCACTTATTTTTTCTGACAGTAGATTGGTTTTGAAAACTGGTGCAGTATCGGAGACAACAATCTGCACCTCAATGATGGAAACAAGGCAATCTACTGACTGGACTTCATGTTTCTTTGGCTGCGCCCCTAACAGACACACCACTTACTGTTCTTCTGCTATATTTCAGCGAGCTACCTTATCTATAGTCCCTTTCCGATAACATAGAATGAATTAAGCGTAATAAGGAACTATATCTACAATCTGCCGTGTGACACAAATAACTGCAGTGTAATTCTTAGGTTGCTAGGAATACTGATAACGCTAATTACCAAAAATATTAAGTATAATATGATTAATAGCTTAATTAGGTAGCATTTCAATGTGGATCACCACTAGTAAAGTACTATGACTACATTGCATTTCTTACGAAGAACATGTATTCTTCAGGTCACTCTCTTAGTCCTCTTATTCAGGCGGAAAGAGCCAACAATTTCATAAAGAAAATCACTGACATGCATGTGTGACAGTGTCAGTACACGACCACTCAACTATATCTCAACATAGCAGAGAGCTGTTCACTACCACTGATCAATCCTCTAAATCTCATATACAGTATGGTTCCTTTAAGGAGTATAAATTAAAGATTTGGGCTGATGAGTGCACCGGTGGCAGGATGTGAAAGGAGCTTTCTTACAAATCTTTATGAGAGTGTGTTTGAAAGAGACGATGTTTGTCGTTCTCTGGATTCATCGGCATAGGAGGGTCTTTTGAAGTGTTGAACAGCTCTGAATAATTCACCCCTCTCCGAATACAGGCGGAACTTTTAAACTATCATTTATATCGGTGAACTGGGTCGAGAGTGACTGTTTAGAAACCACACACACACTCGTACTGTACACACAATGAGGTAATCTTCTGATTGTTTTTCAGTGACTGGTTAGTTGATGAATGCACAAACAAGGAAATGAGCTTTCTGACGCAACAGGAAAGCTGGCAGTGACATTTAGAGAATCAACACTAACATTAGAGAGTGACTTACCTGCTCATGTCCTCCTGAATATACAGTGAGAGCAGCTGTTTGGGGATGCTGAACGACAAGGTGCACTCCTCCATTTGTTCCCGCACCAGCATCCATTTGCTGTCCACTGTTTGAAATCTGTACACCTTGCATATTGGGTTCTTGAACACTAAGAGAGGGAGACAAAGGAAGAGAAGAAAGGCATATTGAACTATCTGACAAATCATAAAACATATCGCATTTTCATCAATGATAGTTCTTCTGACTACCCGAAGGTAAAACAGATGATCTAATACATCTTTGACAGCCGGCAACGTCAATGACCGACAGACAGAAAATCCTCGAAAGTCACATGAGGTTTTAAGCATACATTTAAATCTATAATCAATACGTGTGTCTGCCATAGATAAGGTGTTGCTCATCTTCCAATTCCTACTCTTTCCACTTCAGTGGCTGTTAATCTTTGCAATATTATTTCCCTATTTGCTGGCTAACAGCAGCATCCAGCCCTCCCATTAAATACATGCTCAGATGCAGACCCATCTTCTTCATTTTTTTTCAAAATGGCTAATAGCAGCAATCGAAGGCTGGAACCCAAAACAGCTCTAATGCTCTTATCTGCATGCTAGCAGCAGAGGGCAAGAAAGCTGTCTCCCTTGAACAGTGTTTACCACTCCTTTCCGTTTCCACAGCTGCAGTCATAAAGGAAGTCACTCAATAATTCGGAGCTGAAGCACCCGGGGTGAAACGTTGACAATCTTGCTCTAGGCAGTCAGAAATGCGTGGCACCAGTCAAATGTTTTATTCGATTGAATTTAAAAGTCTGACTTCTGCTCCTGCTGACAGCACAGAGAAGTCTCCCCACACCAAACCCTTCATCCGGCACTGTGCCCTGATCTGACCTCAGGTGGCCCTTTCTCTCAAAGTCATCTGTCTAAGTGCCCGAGTCAAAGTAATCCTGCTGGGGCTACGTCATTTGTCCTCGAGTGTTTAAGTTCAGTGATGCCCTTCAATGCAGATGGGCTCGAGAAGGCGCACTGTACTGAGAGTTCTTACAAAGCACGGGGATTTTAATATAAGATGCAATGTCATTGCTACGGCTGATGCCTTTCTGGTCGTCTTCTGTCTTATGTAAATGAGCTCTGCGGGTGCTCTAACGTCATTGGCTGCCCTCTCCTGGTTCGCCTCCCGAAGATTGTGATTGGAGCACGCCGGGCCCGACGCACTCCAATCGCAGCGCACAGCCGGCGCACACCTGCTGGAGATGACTACAAGGCCTGGGGGCAATTATCACTCCTGAGGCTCTGTTGAGTGAACAGACGCCTCTCGCTACTTGCTCTTCGTTCAGTGGTTAACTTGTGTGGTCTGTGTTTGGTAGTGTTGATATGATTAGAGTATCTTAGCCTCTACGTTGACTGTAGTTATTTAGTTTAGCTGTGTTTTCTTACAGCCTCCTTTTCTTTAGTTTGTACAACTGCAATAGTGAGGGTTATTTTGTTTAGTTATGTATATACCTTTTTATTTAAGTAGGCTCACTTATTAGAGTCCTCCCTTTGTTTGGTTGCCCATTTAAACTTGCGCCCTTGTGGCCACTTTTGTTTGTTATTTAAACCGGTGCTTTTGTGGCCTTTTGTTTGTCCCAGGCTGCTTGCCTGCCATTTTGTCTACCTGTTATACATTAAAACTATTCATAATTATTACCAATTCCAACTGGTGTGTGTTGCATTTCCTCATCCCTAGTGGGGACGTTACAGTCATCATGAGTTATTTTGTTTTCTACATGTATTTTGGGCAAGCATTTGAAATCAAAACATAAACCTGTTTATGTGATCGTAAAAAGAAGTTGCCAACAAGAAGAGATGTTCATTTGAATTGCAATGTATGAATCACTCTCTTCAGCATCAGCGAGCATGCTTTTCTGGCAATATTTAGTATTTTCCTTAATGTTAATAAATCCCATAAAACAAAAAATGTATCATACTAACAAATATTGTGTCTGTAGCCGACGCCTGATGTACAGCAGCATATTCCTGCTGCTTAAGACATCAATAATTGCCCCTCAGAAAAACACATGCATTGGTGACATGTTTCTTCATTAATACGAGTGGTGGTCACTGCATTTCATTTTCAGTCAGACCTAGATAAATTGTTTTGGTGCATCGAATACTTGCTAGTGGAGCAAATGTGAATTAATCCACAGTTGAAAATAGTCCCCAATGAATTCATTATTTACTCGTGTTTGAGTGAGGTTCGCTACTACAGCACCAAGCTGTTGTTAAAGATAAAAATATTTCAGACTTGTTTTTTGATAATTACATCTTCAGCAGGAAGGAATGGGCTTAGGGCCAGAGATGGGGTAAGGAAATTGGAAAGTATTGAAAGGCAAACTAATGAGTTGTTAGCCTTGGAGAGCCAGACCTTTCTCCACAGTGCTGATGGAAGGTCTGGTTTCACACTTTATCAATCTGGTTTATGGGACGAAATGCTCTGGGTAGCTTGTATTGCATGGAACCAATCACTTTTTATTTGGGGCGATGAGAAGCACAGGATGCATGGACAGTATCTTTTCAAACGTTAACACGCGCATAGTGGAGGAAGGGGGTGAATGTCACATGACCAAAGTGGCCAAAGGCAGGCTTATAACCACTGTATTTTGTCAATTCTTTGGATTTGTTAACATGAGGTACAATGTAGTGTTATTGCAGACTTCTAAAGTTACAAATGATGCACCTGACGAGATTTAATTTGAACAACTAATAGCCATAGACAGTAACCGTGATGAGCATCTTATGTCATTACTAAGGCTGTGTGGCAGAATTCGTAACCATTAGCAACACATGTTCACATCAAAACAGCAACAATATTTCGATTTTTTAAAAAGATTTTTGTTAAAAAGGCTTTTGATTTAACTCAATTTCTATTAGTTTGCAAACATTATGTATGGATATACTATGTACCCAAGACACATACATACATTTAGAGCTCCACTGAAGGACAATAGCCATTAGCCAAATAGACTATAGAGAGGCTTATTATTTCTTTCTGCACTGCTGAAGTTGATGTTGAAATTAATGATGATTAAGGTTAAGCTTGGCCCTGGAATCACCCCAGAAAAGATTCATAATTGCATCTAGATGACATGGTATACTCAGGCATTATTGGCAAGGGGATTAGGGAAAGTGAAATGGATGACAAAAATAAAGGGGAACAAGGAGACACATGGAGAGAAGGGGGTGAAGGCCCAACTCTTAATCAGAAGAGCGACAGTTGCTGACTTGTACCGCCGTCAGAGAGGAAGATTAACCCCTGAACTCCCCCCTGCCATCACACTAATCTGACCACCAATCAGGCGCCTCTGTTTCCCTTCCCGACACCTCTTAAGAAAATGACTTCCCGAGATGTGCTGTGTGTGGGTTCCCCCCCCCTCCCCGCTCTCTGCATGCTCATTTCAGAAGGTAATAAAAAGCGGAAGAGCAAATTGCATTACTCAATCTGCCGGGGTCTGCAGGGAAGGTGTTGTTTTGACGTGCTGCAGATGTGCACCTGCAAACACGGCTGCACTCCACTAGCTAATGGCCACAGAAATAGTAAGCGACAATGACACCATGACAACAAGCGTAAGGCTGTCGGGGAGAGTGGGGAGCTGCCGGAAATCTGGATAAAATAGGAAATGGATCTGTGAAACACTTTAATGCATGGGAGGAAAAAAGGAAACTAGTCTGCAAAGTTTCTTCTGAACAAGGTCTGTGAAGTTTCAGCGAGGCAGGAGTTTGACCTTTTCAAGTCGAACCCTTTTCTGTCTGCATGTCTCTCATTTTCTCTGTAGAATTCGCTCCTTCTCTGCCAGTGAGATTTCTAGCTTTCTGGGTTGCCGTGAAATTCATCTCCCGCAGCTAGAATTGCTTCCTTTTCTCTTTCGGTTAGAACCAACCTTTGTCTCAAACTAGCATGGAGGAAATATACATTCCACAACAAAATAGGATACTTAAAGGATCATGCAAATGGTAAAAGGCAGTTCAAGTTCAATTTGAAACATAACAACATTATATAGGCTTTTTTTGGTTTTCTCTTTCCTGTAACGGTCCGTAACGGCCCGTCTACACTACAGGCATCGAAAAATGCTTTCAACGCTTCGCCCATTCACTTGAATGGGGTGACGTAGAAGATTTTTAATCTTCGCCGAACTGCATTGTGGGGAGCATGGCATGGCTTTGCAAGCATCACGAGCATCTATCGGCATCAAAAGTTGAACAATGTTCAACTTTTGAGGCTCGATGCTTGGCATCAGCCAATCAAATCCCGTTTATGCAAATCCCGCCATTGCAAGCGCAGCCAATCAAACCGCGTGCAAGCTGGGAGAGCCAGACCGCAGTTCATTTCCTCATATTCCAAACGAGATATTACGGTAGCAAATCACCCGGTTCTTTACGACCAGAACTATTTACCGGGATACAAACCGGAGGAACCAGGAATGGAGGGAGGTGGCAGAGACAGTGGGTGAAACTGATAGTTTTTCGCCTGTTTGGAGAGTTTATATCCAGTTTACTTCGTTTTAACATTGCTATTGCTTTGTATGTCGGGGGCGGGAGATTCATGTGATTGGTTGCTCGCAAAAAATCGCCAAGCTTCAGACACGCCCAGCTTCAAGATTTTTTCATGCCTGTAGTGTCGACGGGCCGTAAGGTGTTATATTGGTTGTGCTTGTAAATGGTCTGCAGAGAGAAGAAAGAGGCTAACTAGCCAAAGCTTCATTAAAATAACATCTAGAGGGAATTATTTCAAGCTTTCCTTTGAGGGCAATACAGGGTGGGTTATTCATTATTGTTGGGTAGAGAAATAGAGTAGAAAGAAAGGAACATCAGAGAACACATACAATTATTTTGTTTGGTTGCCATGTTATTTAGAAATGAATTACACATTACAGGCGTTCAAATGTGATTCTTACCTGGACCTGTCAGTGGGTTATTGTCTCTGTCGATGCAGGAATGGGACGCAGACTCACAAACCAAGGGACACTGGGAAGAAAAAGAACATACATTATTATAATCAAATCTAATAATGGTCTTTTTCTGAGGACCAGAAAAGGCTTTAATCATGATAATGACTAATGAAGTACAATGAACACACCCATAAGCCAAGTAGCCATGAACAATAATTCACAGCTCACTGGGAGTTAAAGTATTCAATACTGACAGACATTTAATCATCATTTTTTGAACATAAACTCTAAACAGGTGTGTGGATATATGTGTGGAATTTTAACATATATGGATTTTATAAACAGCTACAGATATAATGCATTAATGGTTTCATGTGAAAATGAATATTATCTTTGCTTTGCATAACTACAAAAATGAAACTGCTGTATGCGGATTACAAACACTACATTTAAAGACTAAGGAACCACACAGATCAAACACCTGCTTTCTATTCTCCTTCAAATGTTAGCGTGTTGCACTTCTGCCTTCACCGCAATCAGTGATGTCGCAGCAGGTGACAGCTGAAGGAAAACACACAGCTGTGATTCACAGACTGGGTAGCGGGTTACGAATGTATTTCCTCTGCTGCCATTTCAGTCCATCAACTCGTCAAATTGTTGTTTCATCCTTTGACAGCACATATCAACTGATTGACAGTGCAGTATACTTCTCATAGAGAACAACAACATGTCCAGAACAAATGAGATAATAAAAATACAAAATTAAGTGTCTTGTCCTCTGGATTTACCTCACTTCTATAATACGCATGGGGAGCGACACAGTTTAAATCTTCAATCAAAATGTGTTACTTGGCAACAGAGCTATTATCTTTAATGGGGTTCTTTCAGTGAACCTACAATGGAGATGGAATTTAGGAAATAAAATAGGCACCTCTACCTCTCTTCATATAATGAAATGTTCTAGTTTAGTTTACCAAACCCACTCTGACTGTCAACCCTTCATTCTCACACTTGACAGATATACAGTTAGCAATTATAACAGTTACAGATTTCCATTCAAAATGTTTCCTATTTTGAATAATGAGAGGCCCCTTATTTCTACTTGGCCTCGTTTTTTTTTCTTTTTTCTGATTTTGCCTGCTGAAATAACAACTGTCTTGGATGTGTATCAGCTAATAAGGCTAATATCAGCTCCATGAGTTCTCATACGTTGTCCCTGGTTGACTTTGTTAATTTTCCAGTAGACTTTTTTAAATGCAGAATCTAGAGAAAAAGGGGCTTTACATGCATTACGTTACATACATCATATTTTGGGAATTTTCCTCAGTCCAGCTCTTACATCCAGACAGTTATCCCATTTATACTTTCAAACATAAGTACCACAATAAAGTCCTTAAGTGCTTTGTGACACAGTCCAGAGCAGCATAACCTCCTCAGTCAAACTAAACTTTTCTAAGCTGGTGCAGACAGTGAAGCCTATCGTATGGCTTGTTAATTATGGCTTGTGTTGGCCTTCCACTTCATAGTGTGGCATACTGTACGGTGGTGCCAAGGACTGTAAAAGGGTAGAGCTGCATGACTCGATCATAAACTCTTGTTCTTTCATTTCAGGTAAGCCAGGTCAAATTATAGATAAATTAAGCTCATTTCTTTCTCGCATACATTTTTTTATTTGAATAAAACAGAGTGGTTTACGATTTCTTGTTACAGAAGAATACAGAGGGCTAACCAATGTGTTTGGCAAAGGTGTCACTATTTTGGGTTGTAGTAGTTGAGTTTAAACTTCTCCAAAATGAAAAAGAGTAAGGGAGAAGGGGTTTCTATTGTTACAATACACTGTTTCAGAATCTAAAATTACTTTCACCCATTAGAGAAATATTGCAGAGAAGATATGTTAGTTCTCTTTTAACTGCAACCTAACAAACACATTTCATTTCCCAGCTGTTGAAGTGACACTGGGTTACCACTGTCAGCTAATGTGCCAGAGATGCTAACGATTGCACCTTATAAGTTAGAGCAGGTGCATCAATTCTAGTGGATTTACTGTTGTTGCCATATCCCTTTTATATGGCATAGTGTGTTAAGTATAAAAAAGTTAAGTGCACAACTATACCTTTCCATCCTGACACAGCTTCATAAAACTCAAATATGTCCATTTAACAACTGCTAGGCCTTTGATGCTAAAAGCTTTCGATGCCCGTTGATGCATTAAGTCTGGGACTCATCATCAAAGCAATACGGACAACTAACAATTTCTTTAGCTCGCTGTCTGTCAGCTCTGCCCTGTTTGATGAACCATTTAACACGGCTAGACAGCCCAACCTGTCCCCAGAAAAAGGACTTTAATGACTGCTAGGAACTATCCATCACCGAAACTGATCCTGAATAAAAAAGACACCAACAGCCAAGCTCACACAAACACGAAAATCAAAAATAAAATATGTCTGTTGAACAAATCAGACAACCTGGGAATATCAGTAAGCATACAAGAAGGATATCTGATGATAAAAAGTATGAACAATGAGCCAAGGATCACAGCTGTAGAAGGAGTCTCATTTTAATTGAAGGCAGCGAATGACGTGTGTTCGCTGACGCTTTGATGACTAAAATATGTAAAGAGATCAGATCAAAGGTGATTTGTGGGATATTCATGACTAGCAGCGACTCAAGCAATGACAGGGAATGATCAAACATGTGCTTTAAGCTCCTGGAAGAAAAACACACACACATACGGGACATTCAGGCAGCAGGTCACACACACTGCTAAGATAAATTGAACAACAACTTGCCCACAAGTGAGTCTTGAATCTCAAGTCAGCCCCCCTTAAAGTCTGTCATACCCCTTCCCTCTGTGCTGCCCTCATCTTCTACACAACACACAATGGGAAACATGCGTTGACAACACACACACACACACACACACACACACACACACACACACACACACACACACACACACACACACACACACACACACACACACATGCAGGGCGACACATTCATCAAGGCGACAGGGGCAGATTGTCAGTGACACTCTGGGGCCTAGCAGGGAACCTCCCTGCACCAGCAACTGGGGGGGGGGGGGGGCAGAACCAAAGCCAGTCAGCCATGTAGAAGCCCTTGGTCACTTATATAAGACAGTGAGTCATACACACAACACACAAAATACACACACAACAGCAAATCAAAAGCAGACATGGACTACTTAGTTTCCCGACTGCCTTGCAGGGCTGTGCTGTAGTGAAAGAAAACGTTGAGTGTTCCCCTTTAAAGATCAGAAACATCATTAAAGCCCCTTCTTTACTTTTTAATACCCCGGCTCTTGACAAATCTTCAACAAATCAGGCTCCATTAGGAGTGGACGGAAACAAATTAAGTGAAATCAGAGTACATACAACTTCATTTCTGGTGAGGTGGCAGCCCATTCGGATGACACAATCCTCAGCTTGCTGTCAAACTCTGAAGGAAAAGACTCTTTCTTCCTCTTTCTCTCGCCTGATTATGTGAGTCACTCCAGAGCCGGGTTAAGCGGTATGTATTGTATGAGATTAGAGTGGATACGGGGGCGGCGGAGCAGCAGAAAAGACACATTGAAGAAGCATCTGCCACTTGGTGAGATGAAGGAAGGCTGCAGGCCTGGCGACACAATCCCACACAAACAGGGTCAAGTGTGTGAATGTCGGCATGCTAATTTGGTCAGTCTCTATATAATCTATTCTATGAATGACAGAGAAACAACATAGACAGACATCACACACACACACACACACATCCCTCTAAATCCCTATTAGGGTTGACTGAAGTTTATTTAATCTCATTGGAGGACTTGAGCAGTGCCAGTCTAATCCTAGCTTTAGCGCTAGGCGTCTGCAGCACGGAGACTTGTGTCTTCACTCTGATACTCTACCTTGTGTGACGGTAACTCGGTGGTGATGTGGTCCAAGTCCACCTCCTCCATCTCCCCCATCTTCAAACGACTCACCACCACTGCTCCTGCCGCGCACACACCATCAGATGACCTAGAGGGAGACACCAAGAGGGAATTGAGTTACATTTAATCTGTAAATAAAAAGTATGTTCAGTTAAATGATCTTTTCCTCGAGCTACTTCCCCTCCAATGGCCTGAAAACGATACGTCTCCATGTTGGGTCCTCTAAATCTCCAAATCTAATGAGCTTACTCTGAGCAGCAAACAGGTTGTGGAGTTAACGCTGGAATCGGGACATAGATGCTTTTACTGAGGCAATTTCTTTCACTGACAGGTTTTGCAGAAGAGTGTGCAAGTAGAATAAACCCCAGCCTGCTCCAGAGGGGAAGTTGGCGGGTTGAGGGAAGGAACATTTTGTATAACTGCTCAAATGGCCGTTTAATAACCCCGGCTGTGTGCCCTGACAGACACGAAATTGATACTAGAGTTTTCATATCAGAGAGCCCGACCAATCACGTAGCCAATCATGGACCCATGATTAAGGAGCTGATATAAAATCTATATTATTGGCAGCAAGACAGACGCTCTCAAATGAAGAAAAATTGTCCCTGGGCATCGCAAAAGCAAGTCTGATCACCTAAGCAGACCCATCTCTAATGCACTCAGTTCCACTCCAGCTGGAGAAAATATTGGATGCTGTGTGCCAGCCAGAGGTCTGGGGACACAGCGGGGGAAATGACACACCCCTGAGTAAAAAGGGAAAAACACAAGAAGGGTGATGAGAGCAGAAAATATGCTTTCAAGGCCGATCCATCTTGATCGGGCACGAGGGGGAGAATATAATCGCGCCCAGGGGAAAAGGGGATAGGGAAGAAGCGCGTTGGAGGAGGAGGAGGAGGAGGAGGAGGGGTAGGGACGAACGCAAGGGAATACAGAGGAGGATGTTTTGGATTCCAATGAGGGACAAGTGTCTCTGCGGTGGGACACTGGGAGCTTCAGTTAGCGCTTAATGTCTTCTAGCAGTCCCCGAGCGGAGAAAATAACATTGCTTGGTTTATAAATCTAATCATCGTCCCTTGCCAGACACCTGTCTCAGTGTTTACTCCACTGCTCATCTTTCTGTGTCCTCATCCTCTCTCTCTCTCCCTCTCTGTGCAACAGAGGAGAGCAGCGCGGTGGAAGAAAGTCACCCTGACTTTGAACAAACAGCGCGTAATGACAGTGGGCCGCACATAATCGAGTTGATGGAGATTAACATGCATCACATTCAGTGATTGTCGCCCCTATCGAAACCTCAGGGGTTACAGTGGTCCCTTCTACTCTTTAGATTGCTCTGCCTCAATCCACTAATACAACTCTCAGTTTAAACAGACAGGGGAGGCTTTGTTAGGACTGCTTTAAAATAATTGATGTATGCCTCTGAGAGATATATTGTGATTCTTTTGATTTGCAGCCAAATGTAAACTCAGCACCTGTTCAAATACAACCCGTATACATTATTGTCTGTGAGGGAAATAACTCTTCAGCAGCTCACTCGGGAGATTTGATTAAGCTTCTTTGCAGCATTGCTGGTTTATTGTACAAATTCTACAAAGTCAAGCAAAGAAAAGGGCATAGACATTAACTTCCTGACTTCCACGGCAGTGACACAAACCTTATTTTTTCGAAACGGAAGTCTTTTATCATGCACAACTGACCCCAAATTAACTTTGAAGATTCTGTGGAGAGCTGTGAATTAAAGGAAGCGCGTCTCCCCCCACCCTCACCCGCCCACCTCCCCTTCTCCTCCGCCCATCTCTTTCCGTCTGTTGGAGCTGGCAACGAAACAACTTTGCCTGCAAGCCCATCTTTTTTCTATGTAATTGGCCCAGGATCTCTTTTATGACAACACTTAATCAGACGGCTTTGCTAGAGTGACACAAATAATGTGCTTAAAATGGCTGCTAAGAAATTGGCACAATTCAAAAGACAATTAGTTATCAGGAAAGAGCATTGCATTTAACAGTTATTTTCTTTTGAGAGCCTCCTTTGCAATTCACAAACACATTTTCCAATGAAGTAATATATAGTGAGATTAGCTTTAAAAACGATCTGTACCCTGCTGGTCTGAGAGGCTCCTGATCTATGAGTCATATGCGTTGTGTGCGTATATCATAGAACAAGTGCCCCATTAAGAGGCAATAAATCATGTCTATAAAATAAAAGTATCCTGCTGTGTGTCAACTCTTCAATTACCTCTTCTCAGAAATAACAACACACAAGACAATTCACAGTATATTATCCGATAACAATCCCGAAGACAACATAATGACGTTGAGTTGAAACATGATTTACTTCTTGCCAATTCAAAAAGTAAGGAGGCTCTTTGTTTAATAAATGTTATCCTTGGAAACAAAATACACAAGCTGAAATTGCCCAATAAACATAGACAGCACTGGCTATTGAAAGAGAAGACAACAGGTAATTAATCGAGGGGACACCTTGAGAGTTCGTCAATGAATAATGTCACGCTGCGGTTCTTGGTCGAAATAAATCTGACAACTCGTACAATGACTTTAATCAATTAAATGATACCCTGAAGGAGAATGTCTCTAATTCAAGATTTATAAGACTAACTAGCTTTCAAAAAGCGCCACACTTGGCAAACAAAAACAAAATAATGGTTCCAGTTTGAGTTAATATATTCAGCTTCCTTTTCAATGAGAAATAAACAGGGTACCACTGGATTTTCATTGTATTAACAGGACCATTATTAGCCCTTTCCCCTGCTTCTGTAAACACTATAATTACTTCCGTTCGGTGGTTAGAAAGCCCACACAGATGGTGAACGTAATTATTTGTGATTCTATTCCTTGTTGAAATGAGCAGGCATACTGCGGTTTAATAGCATTGCCAAATGTTTTGTTTTGTTATGAGTTTTTTTAGTGAACAGTCAACATCAACGTTTTATGAAACACAGAGATGTGATGTACTGGGATTTAGCAAATGTTTATTTTCAGCCTAAATAAGAAAATATAAAATGTCATGTTCTAAGTAAATTTGGAGATACATTAGATGGTTGCTTTGTCTTGGTTTGTAGATTCAACCTTATATTTCTTATTGCACAACTTTTTTGTGCCCTGAATATAGTGAAAGTGGTTCAGCTCTGTAACTAATTATGTTGATGACAATGTGCATGTCATTAAAGATAGTCAAATGGACAGAAACAGACAAGTAGAGGAGTAAAAGTGTTCTCTTTCTGCTGCCTTGCGAACTTACAGAAGGGAGGTTCACACAGGGAAGGGCACTTGTAATATATTTTCAAAGGCCTGAATCAAAACAGACCTTGGTGGGAGAAGTTCATTAAAAAAAACTTCAAAGCAGCAATATATTTCTATGGCCGTCAGGTGCTATTCTCAGTGGGAAGCCTCTCAGAGGAAAATACCTGACAGCCACGGAAATCGACCAAAACACCACCGGCTTTCCCCCCGCTTCAACTGTAGGGAAGTCAAAAACACACAGCAAGACCTGGAAAAGCTATTTTGTTTCTTTTCTGTGGATATTTCTCACAGAGGATCTAGTCCTTCAGGACACCTTGAAACTGTGTATTGCCTCTGGAAGAGGAGTGGTCTGAGAAACATAATTGCCAGGATCCTACACGGGCAACAGGAATGCTGCAGCGGCCGTGAAGTGTAGCAGGGGAAGTGTGGATGGGATTCTTGACCTATATAAAGCTGGACGGGTGGGCTAAATATAGCACCGGCTACTTTTCACTGAAGACAGATGTTGGGACACAGGACTGTAATAACGGGGAACGCCAGCTATAGAAGGGTTACTGAGAGTCCTGATTTGTATTGGGGATGAATGGCATTACCATGTGACTCAGCAGTACATCCACATTTTGCAACTTGAGGACTGACTCAATCAATAAGACTACACTGCAGGCATTGTTCATGGAGCGGGCCAGAATCACCAGGGGACCCTAAACTAAGCACACACTCCCCGGCTTGTCTGGACCACTTGAAGTATATTCCCAAAGAAAAAACTGCCCTGGTTTCCTCTTGATGAAAGATACTTCCACAAAAATACATATACTCAGTCTGAATCTGGAATTAATGAAAAACAAGCTGTGTAACTTGTGTTAGAGTTTCATAAACAAATCTGTTTGGTAAGGACATTTTATGCTTGAAACGGATGAGTTAGCATCACATTTTCCATCAAAAACAGGATGACTTATCCCGACTACAGCAGTGTGATAAAACTCTCCAACATGTAAATTTATGCAATGTAAAAAATATGTTTGTCTGCTGCAATACATCTGTAATATGCCGAATGGGAGCTATGTCGAGGCAATATGCATACTTGCACAAGATTTGTGAGTGTTAACGCATCCTATTTGTTCCAGTCCCATCACACACACTTCTGTATTCTTGCATGACGAGAAGTGTCTTCACACTACATTCACTTTTATGCTGGTGCTTCACCAGTGTCAGAAACAGTCTCGGATAAGCTGTTTTCACAGAAGAAGCAAGGTGGAAAGAAAATGTGCAGAAAGGATATTATTTCGTTTAACCAATCTCATCAATACAGGCTGGAGCTCAAAAGAAGGTGTTTGATGAAGGCTGTGTGCAATGTTTATACATTTCACAGATTTTGAGAAAGTCTAAAGGGGGAGATGATGAGGAAGCTGTTCATGTAGAAAAAGAACAGCAGAGTTAGAATATCCCTGGTGTTACGTAAATACAGGCTACTTTGGCAGACACATCTTCATAAATACATTATTCCTGGTTAGTTAGACACAAATAAATTATTTGTACTGTCAACATGAATAATTTCCCATTGCATTGCAGCTGTGGGAAGTAGCTACTGTATGTTAAATATTAAAATTAAAACAATATTCAGTTTGGTCCAGTCCATTACAGTAACAGGCCATGAGAAAAAGGAGAAGTAAAAAAGATGGTATCAATTGAACACCGCGGAACATGTGTGTAGTGTCAGGATGTGGTTTGGATGAGAAAAGGTCAAGAAACTGTTCTCACCCTCTCCGCCTGTTCTGTTTACCACAGGCCTGTAGAGACCTACAAAACATGAGCAGAAGAATAGATGCTGCTTCATCCTGCAGGC